GGGTCAAATAAACAAAACTAAAATGAAACTGGGGACATGCTTTCGATGGTAAAATCCCCTATAGGCTCAATTATTTGCTCACTTGGTCCCAACTGGTGCTGCTCTTGGGAGAAGTTATGGAACTCCCTGATCTGCAGCCCAGCTGGAGGAATCCCTCATGTCCTGAAAATCTTCTCTCACAGCACACAGCTCACCTTCACAGTGAGCACAGGCTAGCACCATAGTAAACCGTCACCTGACCTGTCACGTACCCTTATTGGGCATCACCTGTCACCTACAACTTGTGAACACTGTCCTTTGTGGCTCTGTAGACTGACTTTTCTCCTTGTTCCACACAACACACACAACTCAAGGTCTGTGTAACATGACAAATAAATGGCCCAGGGACAGATATTGGGGTTCAAGCTTCAAGCTGAAGATCAGAAAAGCAAAGCAGAGGGCCACTAGTTCTTACTCTACCTTAGACTGAAAGGCAATCCTGACTCCAACAAAACTCAGACTGCTGCCTTTCCTCAGTGTGGCTGGAGAAACTTGAGATTTCAATGTCTAACCACCCTCAATGTGGATGGAGAATCAATGCCAGCGCTGAGACCCTGTTCCTGTCTTAAATGACCCTCAGGAGTCCTAGGATTAAGGTGTGTATCCCAGGTACTGAGATCACCTTTGTGTGAGTTGTTTCTCTTTAGGACTGAATCAATTTCATGTAGCTCAGTGTGGTCTTGAACTAAAGGGATCTATCGACCTCTTAATCCTGAGTATTGGGATTAAAAATCTGTAACAACACTACCTAGCTCTGTGCCTGCTGGGATTAAAGATGGTACCTGGCTTCTATGACTAACTTGTATGGGCTGATCTGCTGTTATGATCTCCATTGGCTTAGTAAATCATAAACAATATATCATCACAGGTTGATTTGCAGTTTGAGACTGTGAGTAGTTTTCTCATGGTTTATACATGGAAACGTTCCTGGTTTTAGGTAATAGCTCCCAAACACTCCCAATGAGATTTGGTGATCACTTCAGAGCCCAGTTCTCCCATGAGGAAAAAGGGAGAGTGTGCTGAAATGCATTTTCCAAGAGGGTGAACTCTAAGGTCTGGATCCTCTGGGAAGAATCTCTTTCCTTCTTAAATTCTGGACTCACATGATTCTGGGTCAGAGACATATATACAGAAATATCAGTAGAAGGGTGTGAGGTACGGGAGTTTACCTTCTGCTTTATAAGTGGAATCTGCGTCAGTGGTCTCTCTTCACTTTATAACCCTCATCTGGTTTAGGCTGATTGGCTTCTATAAGGAGAGAGACAGAGACAGAGACAGAGACAGAGACAGAGACAGAGACAGAGACAGAGACAGAGACAGAGGCAGAGGCAGAGACAGAGGCAGAGGCAGAGACAGAGACAGAGACAGAGACAGAGACAGGGAGTGATGCTTAGTCACATAATGGAAAGATCTACTTTGAAGAACCACGAATCTATACAACCCATGTCCTCACTTTGACCCAATCTTTGGGTTGATATCCCCAGGGTAGTGTCTCAGGACAACTTTATTTGCCCAGATCCATGTCCTGGTTTTTCGAAATCATTCTTCTGAGTCTCAGTACAGGGGGCAATATGTCAGCTATACTAAGCATTTTGATCTCAATATGTCTATACACACTTCGTGTGGATCTGAAAGGTAAACATGCCTATGTGGCTCATATCAGTCCATTCTGACTGTCTTAGGAACTGATGATTTTGAGACTTCTTGAAGATAATGCCAGATAATGATAACCTGGGATCAAAAGTTGTACTTGAGGATCAATGCACATTTATTCCTATCACCGGGAACATGCAGGGTTTGGGAATTCTTATTCTCACGATTGTGGTTAGGAGACAATCATGTCTGAGACATCGTTCCAGTTCTACTAGCAGAAGTGAGATCTCAGACACTTTGGGGATTTAGGGCCATGGTTCTAGGTGACCCTCTTCTCCCATTCCCTGTGTCAGGACCAATGTGCTCCATTTACTGCATCAGAGACTTCAAATCTTGGGAGTCACATCCTTGCCTGAAGAACCTGTGTTGGAAGTAACATCCCAGAGGCTAGGCCTGGATACGTTGTTGCTTAAATACCACATGGAGAGTGAGTTTTGGGGCTTTGTGAGACAGCGCCTGACTTACTTCCAGGTTGGACCCTGGTAAGAGATATATTGGTCAGGGTGTCAAGTCAGCATGAAAGCTGAAATGGATTAGCAGGCTACTAAAGGAAGATATGTAATCTCTGCACACACGTAGGAAACAAGTACCATGACATCTCTATGGAGATGAGGGACATGGGGCAGGTGAACTCATTCGGCCTCTCATGGATGGAGAGTGCTGCCATGTCCTGTTGCTGAAGGACTCTTGGGTTTTCTGGGAAATGTGCTCCAAAGGGAGGCAGGTAGTCTACTCCACAGGCAGCCATTCAGGAAGAATCCATCACACCATTCAGAAACTGACTTTCCTCCCCTGTCCCCCTCTTTGGGGGCTCTGCTCCTAATACAATACTGCTCAACAAGAGTTTCAGAATCTGCCGTGTGCATTATCTCTGGGATGCAGAAACGCACACTAGGGAAAAGGCTCGGTTGTGCTTTAGGGTCACAAACACACTCTGTATTGATTGATGTTCTGTTGGAACTGGAAGAGATTCTCTGTCTCTCAGGCATTGCATAAAGTGTCTAGACCATCAGCTGAGTTTACAGAGAATACTATTCATTTCATCTACACCATTCTTCTTGCTCTCTCTGCTGTGACCCTCTCTGAAGACAGGTGTTAACACAGAATTCCCTTACTTCATACGGAAGGGTTTCCAGTTTCACTGAAAGAGACTGGATGACCTAAAATCCTATGAGTTTCATAATGACGACCATGAACACCTCTAGGAATTTAAGCAGTTTATCATTGCACCGTTTGTCTATTCCATTTAACTTTTATTTTACATCTAACTACTTCCCTGCCTGAGATTCAAATACACAGCTGAGATTTCTTTGGGTTGGCATTAGCATAGCACAGCTTTGTCTCACTCTTGTTCAAGTTACATTTTTAATTCGTTCATTTATTTTTCAAATATTTATTACTTTCTTTGGGGACAGGGACTCAGAACATAAACCAGGTTGATCTTGAGCTTAAAATTCTGCTGTTGGCATAGTCTGCTCTGGTTGGTATTACTGTCCTATTATAGTCCCTACTCTGTCAGAAACCAGGCTTGAACTCTTAATAGATTTGGTGAGTACACCACAGACATCCATGTTGGACAACGATGGGAATATTCTCTAGTTGTATCAGTGGATGTTGACAACAGAAGACAATGACATTAGCCTGAAACAAAGGACTAAGAACAAACGTAATTCCTATAGAACCAGGAACCTAAACATTTCTTGATGGAACATCAGACTCGAGACTGCATGACTGAATGGCATGTGAAAAAACAACAAGAACCCTGGAGAGCCACTACAAATGCCTGGGACCTTCTGATCACATGTCCTGGTAGAACAGGCTTATTGAGAGAACATGGATTAGGAGACAGCAAGATGACGGAGTTGGGAAGGGACTAGCTGAAAACCCAGGGTGGAAGGAGCAATAATTGTTCATGCACGGATTCCACATGGAACCACAGTCTTCAACTGACCCAAGAGGCAATCTAGTTACCACAGTACACAGGATTCCATAAGGTTCTGTCTGAGACTTTATTTTCTACATCAAGTTTTATTCATCTTTAGTATGCTAATCAAATACCCACTCTGAAAGAAGTCTTATAACCATATAAAATGCTTAATTTCAAGGAACATGTATTAAGTTGTAGCTCAGCAAAAAAAAAAAAAAATAAACTATCAAGGATAGAGGTTGCCAGCTCAGCCTCTGACTGGGGAAAAATGATGATGGGCTTGTGGATGGGACTTGTTGCTGCTCAGAGAAGGGTTGCACCCATCACCTGGTTACACTGTATTCATGGGAGACAGACACATAGTAACAGTAAGATGCAGAAAGAAAACTCATCACTTCTTCAGGACAGAGTGGGGAAAAAACAGAATAATCCTGTCTGTTAGGTTCAGTCCAGCTGGCTTATCCTGTAGAAGAATAAAACAAAAGGAAGAAATTCAGATCAGTGTCTTAACTGGTGACATTCTGAACAGCCCATCACACACTCAAACTGACCCAATCCCAGGAAGGCCGATGGCCCTGGCTTCTATCCTCTGACCTCTCCTGTCACACACCAGGCCCTTTAGGGTGTCACTTTTTAAAGCTGTGACACAAGGCTGGACAGCCTAGGAACTTGACCTCCTAGTGAAAAGTGATGCAAGAGCAGATCAAACCTGCTGATACTGGACCTAAATGAGGAGGTAGAGGATGGCTGAGAACCTCCATGGGCTCCTTTATGTTCTGCCACAGGTGTCTCAGGGATGAGCCCCCATTGTAGGAAGGGCACGCCAGAACATGACTGCCTCTCATTTTACCTCGGGGAATAACCACTTTTACTAGAGCTCATGAAAGCAGTAGGATCTAGAAGGCCTAGAGGAATTTCCTGGGTTTATCGCAAGGAAGTTTCCAGAACTGTGAATGCAGATCCATAGAAAGGTGAGGAACCATGAGGAAAGATTGCACATGAAGAGCACTAACTAGACGCCTGCATATCTGTTCTCAGTAGGAACCTTACCATCTGACCACTGAGAGCTGAGGACCCGGTCTCTGCCACCTCTGTCATTGCAGTGATGAATCTGTCCATTATTTCCTTTAAGCTTTACAATGGGGTTAACGTCAGCTCATCAGCACAAGACAGAATAGGCCACTGTGTAGATGCAACTTTGCTCTCATGAGGGAGGACACACTCTCATCTGGGCTTGGTGTTCCCACAGAGACACAAACTCAGACCCTGAGCTTTTCTTACCCTTAGTCCTCCACTTCCATGTGAGCAAAGTCTCCACAGCTCCCATGAGCACAGCTCCAAGAACCAGGCCAGTAACAAATGGCACAATGGCGACCGAGGGCTAAGGAGGCTCTGAGGGAAGAAGAGAAGAGCTGTCAATCATGACCCTGCTTCAGTTCTCCCAAGGACCTCAGCTCTCACTGTGATTCCTCTGTGCTCACATCTATCTACACCTTACCCCATCTCAGGGTGAGGGGCTCAGGCAGCCCCTCATGATCCACATGGCATGTGTATCTCTGCTCCTCCCCAGGAGGCACCACCACAGCTGCCCACTTCTGGAAGGTGCCATCTCCTGCAGGCCTGGTCTCTATCACCTCCACGTCCAGATTCTGGTTGCTCCCATCCCTCTGCCAGGTCAGGGTGATCTCAGCAGGGTAGAAGTTCAGGGCCCAGCATCTTAGAATGACTTACACACAGAACTGAGAGCAAATGTTGCTCCTATGGAAACATGAATCAAAACATTTCTGGATGAAGCATCAGACTCAGGCGTGAACAGGCTGAATGCCAACATGAAAGGCCAGGACAGACACTGACAAGACCTTACATACATCTGAGACATTTCGATCACATGTCCTAGAGGAACGGGTTCGTTGAGAGGCCGGTGATGAGGAGGTAGCAAGATGACATGGGCAGGAAGGGACTGTCTGAAAGCCCAGGGTTGACAGAGCAAGAACTGTGCACAGCCCATGCCTCACTGGGCTCGACACAGCCATCAACTGTCACTACATAGGCTTTGGACAATGACACAGACAACATGATTCCATAACATTGGGAGACTTCGTTTTCTCAATAAAGCTTTACTCGTCTTTAGTGTGCAAACCAGTCGCCTACTCTGGCAAGAAGTTGCGCAATCATTTTTAAAAAATGCTTAATGTCAAAAAAGAAGCACGAAGGCTTAGCTCAGTGAAAACAAAGGTTCAGTCAGGAATGAAGGTGTCCCAGGCATGTTGGAAGAGGAGAGATGACAGGGAAGACACAGAGTGTGTGTGTGTGTGTGTGTGTGTGTGTGTGTGTGTGTGTGTGTGTGTGTGTGTAGGAGGGGGGCTTGCATTTGTTCAAGCAGGGAACAGAGTCTGATACAGAAAGAGACCGCATGACATCTTGAAGACACAAAGGGAGAAAAGGAGGAACCAGAACAAACCATGCGTGGCTCAGTGCCACAGTATGGCAGCTGTCTTATCCTGTAGAAGAAAAGAACAAGGAAGAAATTCAGATCAGTGTCTTAAATGGTGACATTCTGAACAGCCCATCACACAGTAGAACTGTCCCAGTCCCTAGAGTCCCCATGCCCCAGGGTTCTATCCCCCGACCTCTCCTTGTCACACTCCAGGCACTTTAAGGTGTCACTTTTTAAAGCTGTGACACAAGGCTGGACATCCTAGGAACTTGACCTCCCAGTGGAAAGCGATACAAGAGGAGATCAAACACGCTGACACTGGATCTAAATGAGGAGGTAAGGGGTGCCTGAGAACCTCCGTGGGCTCCTGTGTGCACTGCCACAGGTGTCTCATGGATGAGTCCCCAGTGCAGTACTACAAAACCTGGACATAGTTGCATCACCTTTTACCCCTGGGAATAATCCTTTTTAGTAAAGCTCATGGAAGCATCAGGATCTAGAAGACCTAGAGGAATCTCCTGGTTCTTTCCTCCGGGAAGTTTCCAGAACTCTGACTGCAGATCCAGGGAAAGATGAGCAAACGTGATGGAAGATAGCACATGAGGAGGACTAACTGGACTCCTGCATATCTGTTCCCAGTAGGAACCTTTCCATCTGACCTCTGAGAGCTGAGGACCCGGTCTCTGCCACCTCTATCACTACAGTGATGAATCTGTTCATTATTTCCTTTATGCTTCACAGTGATGTTAATGTCAGCTCTGCAGCACAAGGCAGAATAAGCAACTGAGTGGGTTAAACTTTGCTCTCATGTGGCAGGGCACACTCTCAGCTGGGCTTGATGTTCCCACAGAGACACAAACTCAGACCCTGCCTTTTTCTTACCTTTAGTCCTCCACTTGTGTTGAATGGAAGGAAGAGTTGGCTTGAAGGAGAGAGGTAGACCCCACCTACCAGTCTAAATTCAGGATATGGATCAGGTAATCTATTCACTGGAAAGTTTCAGAACCAGTATAAGCCAGTACAGATCAGGAGACTCCTGATTCCATTCTAGGAATATGGGCTTCTGGTTCTGACTCGTGGACATGAAAGACTCAGAAACACTGGGAACAGACCTCCAAAGTCATTGTGTGAGGACGGTGAACAGGCTTGAGAGAGGCCATGGTCCACAAGGCAGATATGGAAGGGAGCTGCTGCTTAACTGACAGACTGAACTGTCCTGAGGGAAGGCTTTGCCCTCTGGAGAGTCCCTCTCTCTCTAATTGAATCAGGAAACCCATGACATTCTTTCCCCTGTTGAAGCCAGACCGAGTCAGTGTCCCAGCTGCTCCCTGCTGAGGAGAAACCCTCAGGAGGCAGGGGCCCCAGTTTCAGAGCAGATGGGGCAGTTTCTTTCCTTACCTGTTCTCAGCAAAAACTCCTCTCCATAGTCCAGCTGTGTGAGGAGCAATTCAACGCACTTGTCCATCAGGTAAGTCTTCACCACTTGAGCAAAACGTGTCTTTTCCCTCTGCTGCCTGAGTAGTTTAGCAGCCTTGCCAGCCGAGGTCCAAGTGCGCAGGTTCTCATTCAGTGTGATGTAATCCTGGCCACTGAAGGTTAATTCGTGGAATCCACGACTAAAGTACCCTCCAGGCCGCAAGACGCAGCCATACCTCCTCTGGACTGTGTGATATCCTGGCCAAGCAGTGTCTCTCAGCCAGTCCCACAGCCCCCCCTCTCCCCGTGGGACCTTCCAGTGGATCGGTCCCTCCCACATTGGCCTTTCTAAGTGGCCAGATTTGGACTTAAACTACTCAGAAACCCACGCCAGTGTCCTGTGGATCTCTGGAGCCTGGTGTCCATGGGTTACATTTTCCTGGTGTAAACCTTGGTCATGGCACACTGGGAGAAGTCCAAGGAGAGCTTGAAGGTGGGGATTTCTGATTTGGGTTTACTAACCAGACATGCTCTGGTTATAGACATGGAGTACTTTCTTCATTACTTCTTTGAAGAACTTCTTTTCTCTCGAGATGCTCTGTGTCTCCTCCTCCCAATACTTGGGCTTCTGCTGATCCAGCCACGGCGCCCGCTGCTCCATCCTCTGAATCTCTGCCCTGCTGTCGAACCCCATGAATTGTGTATCGTTCACATAGCCGGCAGAGATGAACTGAGAGTCCGAGAGGCCAGGCCAAGTCAGGAGGGTTTGGAAATGGCACGGCTGGTATGGACCTAGGAGCAACGGGCCTTTATACCTCTGTCCTCCACTTAGTCCACGCTGGGGGACCGGATGTAAAATAGAGAAGGGAACAGAAGTTTCCGGCTGGGCTAGGGAGGAGACAGGGTCCTCTGGTGCTGCACCATTGGGGGTAGAGATCACCTGCTTCCCCAAGTTAGGTCTTTCCCCTCAGATTCCCGCACTCATCACTTGGATGCTCAGTCAGGACCAGGGTGACCAGGAGAAGCAGGAAGACAGCCTGGGGTGCAAGGGTTTTCATCCTACTTAAAGAGCAGAGACTGAGTCGCTGCGAATCTGCGTTCATCTGCCGATCTTAATGCGAAGGAGGCTGATTGGCTTCTCTAAGAATTCCCAGTGGTAATGAGAGCATTGGGATTGGGCCAGGGAAACACGAACTCCTGGTAGAGAAATCTCTGAGGCCCTGCTCTCCTGGCTCAGATCCAACTCTGGGACCTGTTACCCTAGGAGCAGTGAGTTGCTCACCCTGATTCATTTTCTCCTGGTCCCAGCTCAGCATCCTTGTGGATCAATCTGAAGGGCCATAGAGTCAGCAATTCTCAAACATTGTCATGTCAGGATGTGTCTGTGCAGGCTCAGAAAGGAATTGTCCCTACAAGGCACTCTCCAAAGTTGGGAAGCGATCATTCTTAGGTATTTGCTTCACTGAGCACATTAATAACAAATCCATTGTGAGTGGAATGCTTGAGGAAGTGGTAACTGTTTTCCAAAAAACACAATGCCCACCTATCCTTATCCATGTCTTCCCCACTAGGGTTCCTTTGATTCTCCCTTTAACATTTTAGTTTTATGTGCAGTGTAGGAAATGGCAGCTTCACAAAATATACAGGAAGATTTCTTTTAGTTTTCTGTGCGTGTGTTTGTTTATGTGTCTATGCCTGTGTGAAATTTAGGAGTGGGGTTATCTGTGGAGGCAGAAGAGGGTGTTACAGACTTTGGAGTAGGATGCCCAGGAGGTTGTGGGGTGCCAGACTTCTGAGACTCTACTCTGGTCCTCTTCAAGAGAGGCAAGTGACCTACACAGTGTAGCCATCTCTCCAGCCACAGGGAGAAGGGGTGGGGAGCAGGGGTAGTATTTTTATTAACATCTTCAGATTGTTTTACTTTGTTTTTTTTTCTTTTTTGAGGCTGTCCTGGAACTCAAGGCATCCATATGTCTCTGCCCTCTGAGTAATGAGATAGAAGCATGTGTCACCACATAGTATAGCTGGAGATTTCTCTCCTCCATACTTCACTAGGTTGACACAGGTGCTACCTACATTCTGGAACTTGAAACACCAGTGAATCCTTCATGCTTTGCTACAACACGTCTTTGGAGAGTATTGTTCATTGAGTGGATGCTGTATCGATGGAATGTTACTTTCAAATGTAGAATACTGTTGACCGAGTTTAGAGGTCTTCCGGTGCTCTTACATTTAAATAAATTTATTCAAACCTCGGTTGTCAGTATTAGCAACAATTTCGCCAAAAAATATATATATAAGCATTCAGAAGCAGTTAGGTTTATAGTGAGGAATTCAAGTGCCCTCAAACTGGTAATGTTCTCCTGAGAGCCCAGAGTTTTATCATTGCTGTAATGAACTGCGGTGGGAATTAGAGGAGAAATCATTTATTCATGTTCTATATTATAGTAGGAAGAACATAACTTTCTTAAGTATGCTGCAAAAATAATTACAGTCTGGGCAGGAAGGAAGACTTCTGCCAGAGTGTGTGTCAGGGGCTGCAGGGTCTCCCTCCACTTTGGACAAATCGTGTTCACAAAGGGACTTTCTTTTGTGGAGTTTCCTGGCACGTCATTTTCTCCTTGTACTGGAGAGGAGTCCAGATAAGCAGGCACAGGGACCTGGTAGATTATCGTGAGCCTGGAGGCCTGAGGTGCCAGGGTCCCATGCTTGGAAGTGACTCCTAGTCTTGCCTACTGCCTCGGGTCACTCTCCATCCTTTCTCTGTTTGGTGGAGAACAGCAGGGCCCTCGTGTACACTCCATGATGGGATTCAAGGGCTTTCTGCCTGTGCTGCAACTTCTGAGATCATTACTCCTTCTCCACCCAGTGCACCCATGACTGCATCCCGAGAATCTCCATGTCACTGTAGAGTCCCACAAAGTACAGGCGGTCGACTTAGCTGAGAGCCGTGAGCCCATGCTCTGGGAGCCCAGACCCGCATAGTAAAGTGTAGCAAAACCACAGAGAATGTGAGCCCGAGGGTGGCAAGTGATGGCAGCCAGACCCTCTCCAGGGACAGACACCCAGGAGATACTAAGAACAGGACAGCTCGCCGCAGGAACCTGCCCAGCTGGGGTGGCAGGAGGGTCTGGTTGGGAAAGGGCAGAGAAGCTGCTTCCCTTGCACCCTTGCTCAGCCCTGCAGAGGACTTTTGCTCTTTGTCCCTGCTCTGGTCCTCCTGTGTCTGGTGTCACATTTTGTGTTGGAATAGGCAAATAAGAGATTTCTTTTTGTTTTGTTTTTGTTTTTCGAGACAGGGTTTCTCTGTGGCTTTGGAGGCTGTCCTGGAACTAGTTCTTGTAGACCAGGCTGGCCTCGAACTCACAGAGATCCACCTGCCTCTGCCTCCCAAGTGCTGGGATTAAAGGCAGGCACCACCATGACCGGCTTGATAAGAGCTTTCTTAACTATCCTGCAAAGGGGTACAATGGATTGCTACTGAACAGAGCAGCCTGGATAGAATGGATTTTCCCTTCTGTCCAGAACCGAGTAAGAGGACTTTAATCAAATTTCACTAGGTCCCTTTTAGAAGAGTTAAAGACAACTGCTGAAGAGATTTCCTTTGTCACCCAGTGGGCCCCAGATACTACAAAAAGTTACCAAAGTGAGAAAGATTTAAAGTTATAAATAGGCAGCAGTTGCTTGAGGTAACTCATAAGATATTTAAAAACAGAGAAGTGACTGAGGCCAGACCTTTTGCGTAATCTGAAAGCCACCATCACCTTCTCCGATGATGAGACACAGAGTTACAGAAACCCAGAAAAATATTGGTGTCTTAATCTGTCAAAAGAGTTATCTCCAAGCTGAAAGTCCTGCCCTCAATCAAAAGATACAGTTGGACTATATAACAAAGATCCCGGGGGGGGGGGGTTGAGGGGGTATGGGAAACAACAAACTCCTAAGACTGGTCCAACATCGAGTTTAAGTACCCAGTTCAGGTATCCTCACGCAGATTAAACAATACCCTATGAACCTGGAAAGAAAAGGGGAAAATGCAGCCCATACAGGCTAGCTTGGAGAGACAGGCATACTGGTTCCCTGGAACTCACCCTGGAGCATACTTCTTCTGCCTGTGAAGACCTCTAATTCTCATGAGTCTGATTCTTCCAGAGCAAGTGTGCACTGTCTTGGACCTGAAAGATGTGCTCTTCAGCCTCCCATTGGCAGAGGTGGGTCAACCCATCTTTGTTTTTAAATAGACAGGCCCATGGGAGCTTACAGAGGGCAACATCCCTGGTCCAGGTTGCCTCAGATTTAAAGACATTAAATGCAGACTCCCTGCCCTCCCATTAGAAGTTCCCAGGGAAAACAGATTATAAAAGAGCCACTAAAGAGCTGCTACAAGAGTTACAGACCTTGAGTTATGAAATACCAGCTAAGAAAGCCCAGCTTTGTATATCAGAGGTTACCTACCTTGGCTACCAACTGAAGTGAGGCTTGGAACCTATCCCAGAGAGGGATACTGTCATCCTTCGGATGCCAACTTGTAAGATGAAGAGACAGATTTCAGAGTTCCTAGGTGTGGCTTGGAATTGCTGCGTCTAGATACCAGAGTTTGCAGAAATAGCAAGACTTCTGATGAACAGGGCTGGGAGACAGGGCTCACCTGTTGGAATAATCTTTTTGTACACTGTGCGAAGAGGATGTGTCTCTGTCCTTCCTCACTGCCTAAGGCACCTTCTGACAGGTTTAGCGAAGAGACTACACAAAGGTCCGTAAATACATCACAGGTTGTGAAGTGGGAACAGCGCAGACAATGAGCTCCCAGCCCTCCTCCTGGGACCCCTGGAAGGTGCACTAAGCTCTGAGAGGAGCAGGACTCCGGGTTTGCACAAGGGTTGGAGAAGGGAGATGGACAGGGAGTCCAGTGGGAAAAGCCAGAAGAGTTTGGTTGGGTGACAATGGAGGGAAGCCTTGTTTGCTGCTGCAACTCCTGAGATCATTCCCTCCAGACCTGGCGCTCATGGCTTAAGTCTAGTTTAGTCTCCCATAGCCAGAGGAGGGTCAGGGCATACTGCTTCTCCTCTGAGTGATGAGTAGAGATTGACCAGGACAAGTCCCTTTTAATGTATAAGCCTGACTTCAGGGAGGCTGCTCACCTTTCCTAGAATTCTCTGTGGGAGTGACAGAGACTGGGGATGGGTAATGGAAAAGGGACTCCTGGGAGCTGCACCTCTAGAGTTCGGTTCTCTCACCTCACATCAAACCATGGGCCTTGTATCCTAGGAGCAGTGTCTGGGGGGACAATAGTTTGCCCTGACCCCTGTCCTACTGGCCCTTTCCACAACATCTTGCTTGTTGTGGGGTATGTGTACACTGTGTGTGTTGCTGTTATTGGCGTGATAAAAATAAAAAAATAAAATAAAAGCTGTTTGTCCGGCAGTGGTGCCGCACGCCTTTAATCCCAGCACTAGGGAGGCAGAGGCAGGCGGATCTCTGGGAGTTCAAAGCCACACTGGTCTACAGAGTGAGTTCCAGGACAGCCAGGGCTGTTACATAGAGAAATCCTGTCTTGAGAAACAAAAATAAGTAAGTAAATGAATAAATAGAAGCTGTAATAAAAAAAAATATGAGCTGAATGACCACCTGTGGGAGAGATAGTTGGGACTTTCTGAAAAAAAGAGAGCAACTCAGAATGATTCTAGGTATGAGGGAGGGAGGGAGGGACGGACGGACGGACAGACAGACACCATGAGACACAGCGGGAATTGGGCATACAGAATAAAAGAAAGGTAAAAAGCCAAGAGGCAAATCGTACACTAATATAAATGGGTTAACTTAAGCTATAAAAGCTAGTAGGACAGGCCTTAAGCTAAGGCCTTGTTTTCATAATTAATAATAAGTCTCCCTCTCTATATTTGGGGCTGGCGGTGGAAAAGAAAGTGCACTAGTAACTCCCAGTCATTCCCACATCAGGATCTCTACACACACTTAGGAAGAGAATGGACCTCAATGTTATTTGACTTATGTGGATTTTATCAACCCACATTTGCCATGCTATTAATAACTAATTGTGTTTAAAAAGGATATTTTAAAAGAGGATTAGCTATTTTTCAAAGCACGGTTAGGGTAGAAGGAATAGATTTTATGGATATTTTACATTCTGGCAAATGCTTTTATCTTTCTTACTAAAAACTAGGTCAATTTTGTATCTTTTTACCAGTTTTCTCTCTGAAATTTAAGAAGCTGCTGCTTAACAGAAACGTGTAGGTTCTATATATTTTATAAGTGTGTGTGCGTGTGTGTACGTGTGTGCGCGCGTGCATGTGTGTGTGTTGTCCTGTACCCACTACAGTTGTCTGTCAAAGTGAAAAGAGCCAACTTAGTTCTGGAAAAATAAAAGCCTCATCCCCTGTAGACACAGGAAACAAAAACAGAGGAGTCTGGGATGCCCACCTCCTCAGGATGGAGGACAACAGGACAGACAGCCACAGCCCACTGGAATCTACAGGGAATAAATACACTGGCCTTTGTCGGGAACAGTTGTCTTAAGTGGTGGGCGATGACCACACGTATGTGAAAATATCAGCAAAGTAACGTAGGGAATTTTACAAACTTCCTGAGTTCATAAAAGGGGTTAGTATGTCTATAAAGCAACCCTGTCCTGTGAGAAGGAGTTGCCAGAGCTCTGATTAAGACAGAGAGTTCCAGAATATTGCCACAGATTTAACAGGGGAATCATTTGGGGGCAGCGGGAAAGATGACCCAGGTGAGAAGGAAGAGACTATGTGAGAGCCCGGGATGTTCTCAGGAACAGCTGTGCATATCCCAGGCCACACGTGACTACCCAGCTTCCAGCTGTCACTAAGGCAACGGACTTAGCACAGCACACACGATTCCATAAGAGTCTGAGCCTTTATTTTGTCCACCACCTTTGACTCACCTTTGGGACACTAGTCAATTACCCACTGTGGCAAGATGTTGCACAACCATAAAAAAAAAATGCTTAATTGACGACAGAAACAACTGGCGGTGGTGGTTCACATTTTTCATCCCATTACTCTAGAGTCAGAGGCAGGCAGATCTCTGAGAGTTAGAGCCCAGTCTAGTCTACAGAGCTATTTCCAGGAGAGCCCAGGGCTACACAGGGAAACCTTGTACTGAACAATAATAATAATAATAATAATAATAATAATAAACAGAGGCATGAAGTTGTTGCTGGTTGAAACTAAAGCACAATCAGCAATTGGGGTTTCCCAGCCCTGCCCCTGTTGGAGATCCAGTGATGATTGGGGAGGACACAAAGCTCAGGGGGGATGGGCTCGTGATTGCTCAGGGCTCCGCTGAATTCATCATCTCGTTACAATTTGCTCAGAGGAATAAGACACATAGCCACCATCACATCACATATAGAAAGAGAAGGCGCAAGGTCTTGAGTCCACAGTGGGAGGAGGAATCAGAACAAATCCTGGTAGGCTCATTCCAACTCTCTTATCCTGTAGAAGAAAAGAACAAGGAAGGAATTCAGATCAGTGTCTTAAATGGTGACATTCTGAACAGACCATCACACAGTCGAACTGTCCCAATCCCTAGAGTCCCCATGCCCCAGGGTTCTATCCCCCGACCTCTCCTTGTCATACATCAGGCACTTTAAGGTGTCACTTTTTAAAGCTGTGACACAAGGCTGGACATCCTAGGAACTTGACCTCCCAGTCGAAAGCGATACAAGAGGAGATCAAACACGCTGACACTGGAACTAAATAAGGAGGTAAGGGATGGCTGAGAACCTCCATGGGCTCCTTTGTGTACTGCCACAGGTGTCTTGGGGATGAGTCCCCAGTGCAAATTGCAAGCATGAACGTATCTTGAATATGAATAATCCCTTACAGTAGGGCTCATGGGAGCACCTGCATCTATAAGACCTAGAGTAATCTCAGAGGTTTATCTCAGGGAAATGTCCAGAACTGTGAATGCAGATCCAGAAAAGGATGAGGAAACATAATGGAAGATTGCACATGAGGAGGACTAACTGGACTCCTGCATATCTGTTCTCAGTAGGAACCTTTCCATCTGACCACTGAGAGCTGAGGATCCGGTCTCTGCCACCTCTATCACTGCGGTGATGAATCTGTCCATTATTTCCTTTATGCTTCACAGTGAAGTTAATGTCAGCTCATCAGCACAGGACAGAATAGGCCACTGTGTGGATGCAACTTTGCTCTCACATGGCAGGGCACACTCTCAGCTGGGCTTGATGTTCCCACTGAGACACAAACTCAGACCCCGCCCCTTTCTTACCTTTAGTCCTCCTCTTCCATATGAGAAAAGTCACCACAGCTCCCATAAGCACAGCTCCAAGACCCAGGCCAATAACAATTGTCATGATGAGGATGGGGGGCTGAGGAGGCTCTGAGGGAAGAAGGGAAAGGAACAGTGAGGCCTCTGACCTCCAGCTGTCACTCATGACCCTGATCCATTTCCCCCAAGGACTCCCAACTCCCTGTGAGAGTCCCTGTGCTCACATCTATCTACACCTTACCCCATCTCAGGGTGATGGGCTCACGCAGCCCCTCATGATCCACACGACATGTGTATCTCTGCTCCTCCCCAGGAGGCACCACCACAGCTGCCCACTTCTGGAAGGTTCCATCTCCTGCAGGCCTGGTGTCCATCACCTCCACGTCCTGTGTCTGATTGTCCCCATCCCTCTGCCAGGTCAGGGTGATGTCAGCAGGGTAGAAGTCCAGGGCCCAGCACCTCAGGGTGATTTTCCCATCAGTGCTCACCTTATGGGTCACATGTGTTTGTGGGATATCTTAGGGGAACAAATTGGAGAGTTCAGTCATTTTGCATTCTTCCTGGGACCTATCAGTGTTCGTGTAACCCTGTGTTGAATGGAAGGATGAGTTGGCTTGAAGGAGAGACACAGACCCCATCTATCAGCCTAAAATCAGGATACAGGTCAGGTTATCTATCTTTTGGAAAGTTTCAGAACCAGCATTAAGCCAGCACAGAGCAGGAGACTGGTGATCTCATTCTAGGAATATGGACTCTGGTTCTGACTGGATGGGGAGCAAGAGTCAGCCACACTGGAGTCAGACCTCCAAAGGGTGTGGACAGTGAACAGGCATGACAGAGACCATGGTCCACAAGGCAAATGGAAGGGAGCTGCTCCTTAACTGGCAGACTGCACTGTCCTGAGGGAAGGCTTTGCCCTCTGGAGAGTCCCTCTCTCTTGTTGAATCAGGAAACCCATGACACTCTTTCCCCTGTTGATGCCAGACCCAGTGATTGTTCCAGCTGCTCCCTGCTGAGGAGAAACCCTCAGGGGACAGGGGCTCCAGTATCAGAGCAGATGGGGCTGTGTTTGTCCTCACCTGTTCTCAGCAAAATATTCTTCCCATAGTCAAGCTGTATGCGGAACAACTTCACGCATTCCTCCTCCAAGTAAGTCTTCACTAATTGTGCAACGCCTGACTCCTCCCACTCCAGTCTGAGGTTTTCAGCTGCCTTGCCCACCGTGTTCCAAGTGTTGAGGTCCTCGTTTATGGCGATGTAGTCATGGCGGTTGAAGTTTAATTTGTATTGTGGGTGACGGGACTCTCCAGACAGCAAATCACAGCCATACAGATTCTGGATTGTGTGATATCCTGGCCAAGTAAGCCCTCATCCTCAGCTACAGGCCAGGTCCCTTGGTGGGGCCCTCCAGGGGCTTGCTCCCTCCCATGTGACCTTTCTAATGGCTAGATTTGGACTTAAACTGGACAGAAAGCCAGGTCGGTGTCCCAAGACTCTCTTCAGCCTAGTAGTATCTATGGGTCACATTTCACCAGGGTAAATCTCAAACATGACACACTGGGGCCACCCCATGGGGAGCATGAGATTTGGGGTCTCTGATTTGGGTTCACTTACCAGTTTCACTATAGTTGTAGGTGTGGAGCAGACTTGTCAACATTTCTATGAACCTTTGTCTTTCGTCCATGGCCTGATCCGTCCTCCACTCCCAGTATTCTGACTTCTGCTGATTGACCCATGGTGCACAGTGCTCTGTCCTCGGAGGCTCTTCCCTGCTGTTGAATCTCTCAAACTGAGTGTCATCCACAAAGGCAATGACGATGAACTGGGGCTCCATGAGGCCAGGCCACGTGAGGAGAGTTTGCACATATTGCAGCGAGTGTGAACCTAGGTGTAGTGGGCCTTTAGATCTGCACCCCCTCCCCACCTAGGACCCTGGTGCTGCTCTACACCCAGATCAGGAAAAAGCAGGGCAGCGGTCAAAAAAATGGAGAAGGGACCCCGAGGATCTGGCTAAGGAAGAGACAGACGTTCCTGTGCTACAGTCCCAAGTGTGGAGTCCTTCTGTCTCCTAGGTTAGGTTCTTTCCCCCCTGACACCCACACTCACCGTCTGAGTGCCTGCTCAGGGCCAGGTAGGCCAGGAGGAGCAGGAAGAGAGCCTCTGGAACAAAGGTCTTCATCCTACTTGAAGACCGGACAGTGAGTCTCTGCTAGTCTGCGTTCATAGTATAATGTTCTTGTTATTGAGAAGAAGGCTGATTGGCTTCTCTAACAATTCCCAGTGGTGGTAAAACATTGAGATGGGTCATGGAAAGATGAACTTCTAGCAGAGGAATCTCTAGGGCACTGCTTTCCTGGCTCAGTTCCATTTCTGGGGCCTGGTATCCTGGGAGCAGTGTCTGGGGAAAAAGTTGCTTACCCTGATCTTTGTTGCCCTCATACTGGTCACAACATCCTTCTGAGTCCAACCTAGAGGCCATTGAGTCATCAATTCCCAAACACTGACATGTCAAGGTGTTTATAGAGTCTTGGAAGCTGATTGGCCCTCAAAGGTACTTAATGCTTGATTGGATTATGTCAATCTATGCTCACCACATTAGGAACTGAGGATGTTGAAACATGTGCTCCAGTGAATACAATAATAGAGTGAATGCAAGCAGAATGTTCTACAAAAAGGAATGACTGTTTTCCAAAATATAATGATGCAGTGAAAAAAATAAGAGATGTTTATATGTGTGCCTGTCCTCATCCTCCTGTTTCTTACCAGTGGTCCTTTGGATTCTTCTTTTTAACCCTTTAGTTTTATGTTAAGTGCAGAAAATGCAGCTTCACAGAAGCATACTGGAAGAACACTTTTATATTCACTTTTTTTGTTTGTTTATGTATGTTTGTATGTCGATGTGTTTGTGGATGTTGGCCTGAAGTTGTCAATAGAAGCCAGAAGAGGGTGTTAGAAACAATGGAGGAGGAGGATTCATAGGAAGTTATGAGTAGAGCGACTTCTGGAACTCCAAGTCTGGTGGTCTAAACAGTGTAGCCATCTCTCCAGCCAGAGGCAGAGAGATTTTTATTAACATCTTCAGATGGTTTTACCTTTGTTTGGGGAGGGGGATCACCAGGAACTCACAGGCATCCACATGCCTCTGCCCCCCCCCAGTGCTGAGATTGAAAGCATGGGTCACCACACTAATTTAAATGGATATCTTTACTTTGTCACTTCACTAGGTTGACACAGGTGCTACCTACATTCCTCGATCTAAAGTACCGTGGAATCCTTTGTAAGGTGCTGCATCCACATTCATGGGAGAGTCTTGTTCATTGAGTGACTGTTGTGTTGTTACATCTTACTTCTAAAAAAGAGAATATTGATCTGAGCGGTGGTGGCGCACGCCTTTGATCCCAGCACTCAGGAGGCAAAGGCAGAAGGATCTGTTGGAGGCCAGCCTGGTCTACAGAGCTACACAGAGAAACCCTGTCTAGAACCATTGAAAATTAAAAAAAAAAAAAGAATATTGTTAACTATGTTTGTCAGTCTCTCAGCGTTCATGCACTTAAATAATTTTTTATCAAATCTTGCTTATTAACATTCTCACAGATTTCGCCGGGGACATCTGTAAGCACTTGAAGCAGTTATGCCTATGGTGAGGGGTTCAAGTGCCTTCAAAATAGTAACGTACTCCCGAGAGCATAGAGCGTATCATTGCTGTAGCGGGCCGCAGGAGGGCTGAGAGGGGAAATAATTGAATAAGTCACATTTTATAATATAGTAGAAGCAGCATGGAGTTGTTAGGTATGTTGCAGGGTGGGCAGGAAGATGAGTTCTACCCACTGTTTGTGGCAGGGGCTGGAGGGGTTACAGCTTTGGACAAGTATTGTTCATTTAGGCATTTTCTTTTTGAGAAGTTTCCTGGCCCGCCATTCGCTCTATGTGGATGAAAGGAGTCCAATCTGGCAGACATACAGAGGTGTCAGATTAACAAGAGCCTGGAGAACCTGAGGTTCCCATGCATGAGGATGGCTCTTGATCTTGCCTGCTGACCCGGGCCACTCACCCGCAGACCCTCAAGTACCGAGGATGCTCATAGGCAGCAAAGGGAACAAGGAAGAGATGGACGGGATCTCGGAGTGAATGGCGATGGCTGCCAGCACGCTTACTGGTAAAAGAGTACACCTTTTACACTCTGACTGTATGTAGGATTCAGTGGGAGAAAGCAGGTAAGCCAACTGGGGTGTGGCTTGTGATCAGGAGCTGACAAGCTAATGGAAGGACCACAAGTTCCTCTCCTTAGAGTTAAGACTTTGTCTCCCTTTCTAGCAAGTAGGGACAGTCTTCCAGCCCCTGAGGAAATGGGGACTCGTCTAAATACCTGACCTTGGAAAAAGGACTTCTCTTGGGAGAGTCACACAATCTATTATAGAATATTGCAGTTTGTTTGTTTGGTATGGCTTAGTTTATCCAAATAGCTAAAGCTTAAAAGAAAACATAGACAAATACTAGTGTGAACCTGAGTAGACCTTAGGCGTTCATAAATCTTGATTGTCAAATGTCAAATATACGTTACTTAATCTAAATTCTGTTAGCAGCTTGGTGTTAACTTGTATGGGAGTAGGAAGAGTTGTCGTATGGTTCCACAGTGGAAGGAATTTTTCCAAAGGACTGCTTTGTTTAAAGAGACTGAAGAGGAACCTGCCTGATTCCATTTTCAAGGCAGGAGCCAGTATGCTATATTTTTAAGAATAAGTTTCTATATGCTATGAGAGTTGAGTAGCTGTTTCCTGGAACTTGACCTTCCCCAACTCATAAACTTGGATTTGTTTTTGAGAATACCCTGACCCTCCCTGACCTTCCCTGACCCTCCTTGCCCCTCCCTGGCCCTCCCTGGTTCTCTCTGACTCCTAATCACATGGTGAACTATCACATCATTTTTAAAGGTTTTTATTTATTTATTTCCTTATTGTCCCATTGTTTCCCTTCTGCAAAACTACTTGTGATTTTACTCCTTAAAAGAGACCCAAGAGTTGGATTCAGGGCTGCTCAGTCTCTTTAACTGGACTTAGGAGGCAGTCACTGGCCAGCTCTTCATTGCCCCCCAATAAAAATCACACTTGTAGCTGGGCATTGGTGGCTCAGGCCTTTAATCCCAGCACTAGGGAGGCAGGGACAGGTGGATTTCTGTGAGTTCGAGACCAGCCTGGTCTACACAGCGAGTTCCAGGACATGCTCCAAAGCAATACGGAGAAACCCTGGGTTGAAACCAAAAAAAAAAAAAAAAAAATGCTTGCTTCAAAATCCGCTCAGATTGTGGTAGTGGTCATACTCTAGCCGTTGGGATTAACACTGCCATTGTACACATTTTCACCCTTCACCCAAACCTGCACAAAATTTCCCAAGGGGAAACGCATAATAGTGACTATCACCGGGCATTGGTGGCACACACCTTTAATCCCAGCACTCGGGAGGCAGAGGCAGGTGGAGCTCTGTGAGTTCGAGGCCAGCCTGGTCTACAGAGTGAGTTCCAGGATAGCCTCCAAAACAATACAGAAAACCCCTGTTATCAAAAAAATAAAAAGTGACTATCATTAAAAATGAACGCTAAGGGTCCTGGAGAATTGTGACCCACAAAGTTGAAATGCCGGCAGAACTTGGTCAAGCAGCAACACAGTCCATGCCAGGGACTGACCCACATCGGATTGCTTCTGGCTTCTCCTTCCCTCCTGACATCAAGAGCTTGTGTTCTGACTTTGATTTCTGCAGCTGGCATCGGGCTGTGTCTAAGGGGCTGCCTCCTGTCAGCACAGTGTGCAAAAGTGAAGAACTCAGTCCAGCCCTAAAAGATGCACTGTCCTGCATCTTTTTCCCAGTTCTCTTCCCTGTTACAGTAGAGGCAAGGCTTGGGTCCCCTCCATCCCTAGCTGTACTTGACTTTCACTGAGCTACAGCTTCATACTGAAGGGATCAGCCCCTACCCATCCCCCCTGCTTTGGCAGCCATGACAGGCTGCAAAAAAAGACCCAGCAAGATGTAGGCCTCTGACTCAGCTACATGTTACTGAGTTTCCAGCCTTCTGACCTTTGTCGGCCTGCCCTAACCACTAGGAGGTCAGATACCCTCCATGTGGCAAGGAACCAATCAGAAGTTAGCTAGCAGGCTCTGGCTGTGCTTTACAGTAGTGGAATAACAGTGATGGGCGGAGCCTAGCAACCGCCCTGGGCTAGAGGCCATAACAACCAGTTGACCAATCAACACAGGATAGGTTGCCCAAGCCCGGAAGTGCACCAATCCTGAGACTGTTGCGAACCCTTAGACTCTCCCCTTGCTCTACCCAATAAATTCCCTGCCTCTCAGCTCCTTCAGGCCTTTCTCACTCCTGCCCCCATGTGTCGGAGGGACAGAAAACCCTGTTTTACCACCACTGGGAATTGTTAGAGAAGCCAATCAGCCTTCTTCTCAATAACAAGAACATTATACTATGAACGCAGACTAGCAGAGACTCACTGTCCGGTCTTCAAGTAGGATGAAGACCTTTGTTCCAGAGGCTCTCTTCCTGCTCCTCCTGGCCTACCTGGCCCTGAGCAGGCACTCAGGTGGTGAGTGTGGGTGTCAGGGGGGAAAGAACCTAACCTAGGAGACAGAAGGACTCCACACTTGGGACTGTAGCACAGGAACGTCTGTCTCTTCCTTAGCCAGATCCTCGGGGTCCCTTCTCCATTTTTTTGACCGCTGCCCTGCTTTTTCCTGAATGCTGTTAACTCGTTAAATAATAAAAGACTCTTTGCTTTTGCATCAGAATGGGTCTCCTGGTGATTTGGGGGTTTGGAATTTGGGCACAACAAT